TGAATATGATTCCCCCTCTGCACAACACTTTCATCTAGGCGGCATAGGAAGCTTGCCATAACTCGGCATAACGTATTCCCTGGGACATTGACGACAGCAGTTCTGATGCGATCCTTCAACTCAGGAATGGTGGCACAACGTGTTTGGAAAACTTCTTGCTTCAGATGGCCCCAAAGGAAAAAGTCTGCACATGAAAGCTCAGGTGAGCTAGGCGACCCGGAAATGTCACCAAAACGGGAAATTACTCTACCTGGAAATGTTTGTTGCAAGAAATCCATGCAAATTATGGCTGTATGTGAGGTCGCTCCATCTTATTGAAACCATAATTGGTCCACATCGACCATACCTAATTGGGGAAGAGCGAAGTCTTGCAGAACCTTTAGGTAGTGTTTACTGGTGACAGTTACAGCCACAACGCAGTCATCCTCATAGAAGTAAGGGCCAATAATCCCAAAGGAAGCAACTCCACACCACAGTGTGACACGAGAACTGTGCAAGAGCTTGTTATGCAGTTCATGCACATTTACATCACTCCAATAACGCATATTCTGTTTATTCACTGAACAACATAACTCGAAATGTGCTTCATCTGACATCAGGGATAGTTTGCAACATTTGTGGATTTAGGCAAAGGAATTCACACATGGTTAAGCAAAATGTTTCTCGTGCAACCCAATCGCGAGGCCTAATTTCCTGAACAACCTGCAGCTTATATGGATGAAAATGGAGATCTTCGTGCAATATTCTCCTGATTGAGCGATCAGACATATGCAAAGTTTGCGAATGATAACGAGCAGATCTTTTTGGGCTGCTCAATATTGCAGCACGAACATAACTCCGCGTTCACACAGTTCTTTCTTTATTCTTCCTGGTTTGCCATTGCAAACAGAACCTATTGCTCGAAATGCACTTACCCACCTCATAATGGTCTGTCCATCTGGAATTTTCCCATGACGTCCCAAGTTGAAACGTTGCCGAAATAGACGCTGGGTAGCAATAACAGAAGAGTTATTCTTGAAATAACTTTCAACAGCAAAGGCCGATGCTGTGCACTCCACCGATCCATATCACTGTCACACTCAAAATGGCAGCTCATTACTCATGAATGCAGCATGAGCTGGCACGCATTCATGCAGTATGTCATTGTACTATGCAAGGTCATATTACTCTATGAACGCTGCCGCACCCTGTACAAGTAGACAAAACACAAATTATTAAACTGACTTTTGTGTGCATAAAATTACAGTAAGATAAAGTAGGTTAATATAAATTTAAGTATGCTTATGTAAGCTATTATATCAAATGGAACAGAAACAGGGCAATGTAAAAAGCAAGACTTTTTCAGAAGCAAGATTTTTTTGCTCTTGGAAAACACAAGACTGCCTGAATGCTCTTGCAGTTGACATAATTTTATTAAAAATTTATGCCAAATTAAAGTAATTGTCTTTTTGCTTGATTTTAATTATTATTCTTATGTTTTCATAGTTTTTCATTTGTCAGTTGGCTGTGTATGAGGGAAACTTAATATTAACAAACACTATTTTTATGCTTGCATAAGCAAACTGCACATAACTTACTTTGACAAATTTATCCTTGCATCTTACATATCTTGTTTTCCTTTCTTAATCATTGTTTGCAAAAAACTTTACCATCTGCATTTTTTGAAACACTGTTTCCACTCATTTTCTCTACCAACTTTCCTGTGAGAACTATGATGGCATATAAATTGCTTTCTGAAAATATTGGGATTATCAATACAAGTACCAGCATTTTTTAAGCAATTCCCAGTGATCTGTAATATTAATTAAGGAAAAAATAGAGACTTTATATTAATTTATTGAAGAAAAAATATTAATATATTGTACAATAATTTGTGATAATTTTGTTATTAATCATTATTAATAAACAAAATTATGATAGTTATATATATTAATTATATATAAGCATATCTATATATAATACTTATTTATAATATATTAATATTTAAATAAAATTAAAGAAGCTTAATCTAATATGTGTATTGTTAAATTATTAATCATGTCTTAATCCAGTATATTACACTTATATATAATCATCATGCTTACATAATTATGCAAATTAAATTACAGTATATTATGTATGAGTAGCATAAGGACTTAGGCATGTTTAAATTCGTGAAACTAAGGAATAAGATGTTCACAGTTTGAAGTTCTAGTGTTTTATTGAGAATTTGTTTTCTGAGCAAATTCTTGTATCCACTTCTTGATATCTTCCATATTTTTCAAATTATTTATTATTGTAACAGTGTCATATTCACTATCTCATTTTCCAAGATAGTGCAAGAGTCCACTACCTCATTTTTAAATGAATCAGGAAGTTCAGTGATGGTAATTTTCAAAGTAGATGTCATACTGCAAACTTTAAAAAAAAAAAAAAAAAAAAAAAAAAACTGCTTAAAAAAAATAATGGTAAAACAAATTTTAGGCCTTGTGGAATCATCGTAGTCAGAGGTAATGGTGATGGTCATCTGGATTGTTGTTGGCCAAGTTCAAGCCATTGTCCTAGCAGTGTACATTTTCCATGTATGCTGACTGGAATGCAAAAAGTGGAAATTCTGCAAAAGATGGAGGCAGGTGGTACTACTCGTTTTATAGCAGAATTTGGGCAGTGGCAGAGTGATGGGATAACAATTTCAGAATGGCACCTGAGAGAAAAGGGAAAACAGATTCATGCTGATTTAAAAATAGGGGAGCCGTGCAATTTCAGCAGTGGTTCGCTGAACAGATTTAAGCAGAGACAAGGTATACATTATCTGAAAGTATGTGGGGGAAAACTTCCAACAGATAATAAAGATGCAGCAAAGGAATTTTCTGTGTTAGTGGCAGAAGAAATTCTTAGTCCAGAACAAGTTGCTAATATGGACGAGACTGGATTTTTTTGACGACATTTGCCAAGAAAGACATTTGTGACAGGCGAAGAAAGTGCATTGTCAGGAGGAAAGAATCTAAAGAAAGAGTTACTATTTTAGTGTGCAGCAATGCAGTTGGAATTTACAAATGTAAACCAGTGGTAGTGGGTAAGAGTACCAATCCCAGAGCTCTGAAAGGAGTAAAATCCTTACCTGTGATTTACAGGAATATTTAAAATTCTTCATTCATGAAACAATTTATGACCAAATGGTTCATGGAGCATTTCATTAAAGAGGCTATAAGGCATTGTAACAGTGTGGAGTTACCATCAAATTGCAAGATATTATTATTGTTAGACAACTGCTCTGCACATACAGATGAAACCATTTTAATATGTGATAATATCATGACACCTTTTTTTGCCTCCAAATACTATATCATTGATCCAACCAGTGGACCAGGGCATAATACACAGTATTAAATGCTACTATAAATCAGAGTTTCTGAAAAAAATTCTTTCAAGTGACCATTCTATTTCACTTTGTGATTATAAAAAAAAAAAAAAAATTCAATATCAAAGACGACATTTATTTGTTTGCTGAATCGTGGAATTCTGTTCCCCAAACGGCATTAGTAAATGCCTGGTGTAATGTATGGCCATCTCTCTCTATTATAACTGAGAGTGATGACAGTGAATTTTCTGGTTTTAGGGTTAAAGCAAGAAAATTACTTTTCGAAAGAAAGAATCAATTAAGCTTTGCAAGAAGATATCATTGAATGGATGATGTGTTCAGAATGAGCCAACACTGGCATATCAGATGACCGATGATGAACTGTTTTGAACTCGCCACTGCAAGAAAACGATTCTGACACCAACACAGATAGTGAATTTCATAAGAGTGAGAAAATATCTTTTAATGAGGGTTTGGAACATGGTGAAAAATACCTAAATTTTTTAGAACAACAGAGCTGTGTCACAGAGGAAGAGATTAAGACTCTATATAATTTACAAAAAAAACTTACTCTGGAGCACCCTAAAGTTTTAGAACAAACCCCTATCTGAAAAATGTTTGAAGCATGTAAAAAAGGAAATAGTTTATGCTTTATTAATATTCCTTATTTTTATATATCTTTATTGTATAAGCCTTAATGCTTTTAAATATCCCTCTAGTCACTAATATAAATTAATAATTATTCTATGTATATAATAATAATTTATATAATAAATTAATGTAATAATGTATATAATAATGTAATTAAATGTATCTAATATGTGTTATTTATTTTGTACTTTTAATCTGAATATTATGATTTATCTTTTCTGTCTTGAAATCCGCGAAATCCTAAAATCTGCTCAGCCTCTGGTCCCAAGCTTTGCGTATTTCTAGACTTATATTGTATTTGTTTTGTGTCCAAAGAATTTGAACATAATAAGCTACTGAGTGTATTAGCCAGTCAGTGCAACAGACAGCAGGTACTGTGTATATATATATATATATAATTATTAAAAAATTGGAAAAGCCGGTGCTTAAATTAAAGTTTACAATTTCTTTCCTATGAATGCCCTAACCATTTTTTTCTCGAAGAAAGTTAAACCCAAAGGTTGTACAGTACAAAGTCCGTAATCCAGACTCGTCAGAACTTCGCCAATTCCGGATTAGGGTTTTTTCCAGATTATATATCATCAATTTAAATCTGGTGAGATGGCATGCAGAAATTATACAATTAAAAATATGAAACCGTAATTTCTGAAATAAAGGGCAATTATGTTCTAAAGGGTATCAAAATTTAGAAAAAAAAAAAAAATCTTAATATTTATTTGTTTACTTTATAAAACATTTCTTTCAATGTGAGTTGTTTAAGTTGCTTCATTTTTGTGCTAAACGCACATGTGTAAAGCATACAAAAAAAGTTTGTGGCTTTGAGGTCCGGGTTATAGATCATTCCGGATAATGGACATCCGGATTACAGACTTTGTACTGTATTAGTAAAAATTAAACTACAAAGACTGATACTATATATATACATATATACACAAATACTGATGTATAATTTTTATTAGGATGAATGTTAGAATGAATTTTTATTTCTGTATAAATATTTTATTTTTAGCTAAAGAATCTTTCTCCAAATCCATTCAATTGTTTACCCCCAGAAAGTAGAGACCATGTGAGAATGCTTTTGAATGCAACTGCCGAATTGCGTCCAGATGCTTATCAAACATCAAAAGTAATGCTTTCAACTATTTTTGTAAAATAAATTTACTATATTCAAGACAGTTTTCTGTTAATTTGTGTGTATATATTATTCCATTTATAGCTTCCTATGTTTGAAGATGTTGGTGTTAAAACTCTACAATATCTCGATTCTCTCTACCAATGGGATAATTTACAAAAATCTCAATTCTATAAAGGTTTGCCTCAAATTCTTTCCAAAATGCCAAAGGTATTTATTTTTAGTTTTTTTCCTATTTTTTAATCTGTCAATGTATTTCTTAATTTTTGTTAGGATATTTTAGATAGTTTTTTAGATTTTTTTTTTTTTTTTTAACTAGGAGTACGTGCTTGAAGTTTATTCAAATGTACTCATTTTTCGATTCAAACTATATTCCTTAAAAATATTTTAACCTCAAATTTCTTCTCAAGTTGTAATTTTGTGTTTAATTTTAGCGAGTGACTTTGCACCGTGTGATACCATGTTTAGCTAAAGAATATCATACACCAGAGATGGTGCCATTTGTATTGCCAAATGTTTTGCTTGTGGCAGAAGAGGCAACAAAAGAAGAATTTCAGTCACTTATTTTACAAGATATGATTCCTTTATTTAGGCTTCAGGAACCTATTCAGGTAATTGAAATGATCTGTTTAAAAGAAGTTAAACATCTGTTAAAAAATGTAATATAAGTATTTTTATTCCTTAGTATTTAAATAAATACGTCCAATCTATTAATATTCTTTTTCTGGTTAATTAATTTAATTAAAATAAAAGAGAATTTCTTTATCTTGATTATCTGTACTGGTTTTAACGTGATGGAAATTATGTTTAAAAGTACCATAAATATATTTATCTTTGATTTAAATTATGATATCAGAGTTGAAAAATTATTTTAATGGTAATAAAATACATTTCCTCTTGACTTGAAGCATTGTTTAAAATTAAAACTTAAATTATTCCTTTCTGAGTTTCCGTGATGAAACACTGTCCCTTGAAGAGAAGGCTTGTTTAAGTTTTAGGCAGAATAGTCATACATGTCCGATCGTGAAATCTCTGCATTTTATCACCATGCCTTGGGACAGAACTTAAGCATCTGCAGATTTTCAAAATGAATATAAAGCAGAATACAACACGTAACTTAAATGGCGGCATTTCATTGTGAGAGGCAGTGACACTCAGATGAATAGACTGTTATGCTGTTGCAAAACAAAAGTATGTCTTCTACTTAAAAAATAAATAAAAGATCATTAAGACACAATAACATGTCAAACAAATACTAATTCAGAAGTCAAATAACAAAAATCAGTATTTTATTTTCAAATTTTACAGGACTAGTTTTGATGGTTTTACCGAAACATCATTCTCAGCTGCAAAAGTGAAAATTTGAAAATATAACGCTGGTTTTTGTTGTTTGACTTTTAGTAAAAGATCATTATTGAAAATTTATCTTCTACTTCTTATGGTCCTAAAATTACTTGAAAGATTAAATTTCAAAAATATGCTAGACCTTCTAGTATGATTAAAATAAAAGTTTGAAGCCAGTTATACAAGTTTGAAGCCAGTTATAGTATGAAATAATATTTGTGGGTACTTTGTTATAGTGGCCTTCAATTATATTTGGTAATTTTAGATTTGTGTCAAGATCTCAGCTATAATTTCGCCAAGTTCATGAAGTGCTGATGTAAAAATAAACAATGCAGTATATAATAATAACAATAATACTTGCATATCATTTCCTTAAAATATTTTTAAAAATCTTCATCCTTATTATTATTTTATCGCATGTAATTGTTTCAATCAACTGCAGCACTTTCAGGCATATTAAGCTGTATGTTGCATCATTTCATGGATGTCAACTCCTCTTCCCAAGAATACATAACTCTAATAGCAATGACGAATAATATTCTGAAACCCTTGAACCAATTTCCAGCATGCAGGCTCTTCGTTATGCAATTTTTACCTTGCATCTCCAAATGGTTTTGTCGTTAACATAAAGTTTCATGTTGTGGACATTTTCACATACTCATTTGTCAGGTAAAAGACCTCTTTCTTGAAAACAATTATATGTTGTCCACCTCATTACATGGCAAAGTTTTATGCGTTTATTTATACGTAGCATTAAGAAGTGATAAGTTTCTTTATGTCATGAAAATCTTTAGTCAACAAAAGAATAAATGGTTAGAGTAGAGAGAAGGGATTACATCTCAAATGATTGTAGCACTGCATATGACAATGAATAAAAACTTATTAAATAACTTTTATTGGGTATAGTTGTTTATATAAATGTAATAAATGTGGATTCTTAAAACAACTTATTAGTAATGTTTCAAAGAAGGACAGCATTTGAAATTGCACTGAAAGTGTGTCAGTCTGATGTTAGCAGCAGCAACTTTATATTCTAGAACTTTGTTTGGACAAAACCATGTAAACTGGGGGAGGGGAAATATGTAGTTTTGGTTGTTTCTTTATAAAAAAATGTAACTGCATTTCATAATATTTTCATTTCTCAGTATCATCATCCTTAACTGCAAATAAAGTGCATATAATTTTTGTTAGTTATAAGGACTTGCAAAGTTTCACCTCCGTAAAGAAATATTTTCTATGCACGTGAAAGGCAAGTAGCTTTTCTACCAAATAGAACATATAAAAAAGTAATATATATGTATGTGTGTGTATGTATGCTGATCAGCAAGTAGTCTTCAAAATCTCTATTTTGAAAATTTAATACGTATGTGTTTTGCTTATAAACAAATGTAATTATGTCAACTATAATGTTGCATTATAGTTGACATAACTACATGTTGCATTTGTGATCTCTAATGAATATCAGATTCTATGTGCAATCTTTAGCATATTTTTATTGCATCATGCAGCCATTGGTACATCTTAATAAAGCTATGTGGCCTATAATTTCTGAAAAGTTTTACAGTATTGCTTTAAGAAATTATCAGAGGTGGCAATTAATGTTCAGTGATTATCAACTCTTAACCAAGAATGTTATTCATGAGTCAGCAGTAGCCATAACTGTAACCTAGATTAAAAATAATTATAGAATCATTAATGAAAGCAGCTAAGCTACAAAACTTGATTCAAACTAATGCTGAGATGCATGTAGTTTGCTTTGAAATATAATGTGGACAGCAAGAGCATCATGCTTTGGTATCATTGCAAATAATGGTAATGCTGTTGAGGCAGCTGTTACAAAAATTAAATAATGTATGATTTAATATTTTTAAATTCAACTTTTAAATAAAATATATTTCTCTTTCAGAATAAAACTGATCAAAAAAACATCTCAGCAATTATATTTAAATATTTAATTTTAAAACTTTTTGTTTCTTGATAGCTTTTCAAGTGAAATCTTATTCAAGTGAAATCTCTTTTTTATTGATGTTTAGGTGACATTGATTTTCATGCAAAAAATGGAACTTCTTTTATCTAAATGTCCTCAAGTTGTCATTTCTAATCACGTATTGCCAATGATATATAGAGCTCTTGAATCTGATGCTCAGCAGATACAGGTAATGTATTTTATGATACTTAATTTAATAAATAAAGTAGCTTATTATGTTTTTGATTTATTTCAACTCATGAACAGTTAGTGTTATTACGAAAGAAATCACATTTACGAACAAGAATAAGCATAACATATGTGAAACTTGCATTTTTCAGATTTTAACTGTGCCCATCTTAGCTTTAGTTGTCAGAATGTTCAAAAGGCATAATTGCAAGTTTTATATATATTACTGCAATTCATTTCCATAACTTTTTATTTTTACTTCCTGTCATTATACAAAAGCATTTGCAGTCTTTACATGAAATTTGTTTTAAGGTTTGTAGCATGATTAAAATACTGCTGTGTTTAAAAATCATTCTAATGCAACTAATAATAATAATAATACTTCTGAATACTTTTTAGTAAAAGGGTTCATATTGAGAAAAATCAAATGTTGCTCATATTTGTTTAATTATTTGCTGATATACACAGTGCATTTATAAGCTTTAGGGCTGTGTTCATACAAAATCAAAAACTGAAGAAAACAGCTTACTTCATAACCTTTAATATAGTACGCGTAAGTCTACAGAACACTTAGTACATTCATATCGTTGGCTGATTCCTTGTATAACTCACCTTTATAGAATATTGTTTAAATTTCTTAACGTTTCAGTTTTTCAGATCTTTTCATTATTATCAAAATAAATGGTCTTTAAGGTGATACTTCACTTTAGAAAAGAGAATGTATAAAAAAGGCTGAATTGTGAAACATTGCTCTACTGTAAAATATTTAATGAGACTTGGAATAATGTATGTTGATTCATTCTCATGTAGCAGAAACCAGTTACTTGATTGAGACCCTAATACACATAATTCTCTTTGGAACTCTGTTCATAATATTTATAAGATAATGGATATCACTGCCTATCTGCCAGGAGGAAATTCCTTGTGAGTTATTCCGTTCCAGTAAAATAAGTTACCAACTCGATCCTTGCTGGTGATTTCTGAAATTGTAGAATTTGTGACTATGATAAACTTCCTCCAGATTCCGCAAATGATTTCTACTTTGTTTCAGGATCATAAGCAAAGGAGCAGTTTTATCTCGTCATAATTTGTTTGAAAAACATGGAATTTAATGCCTGCCATTTGAATCAAATCATCACATTCAGAAATTCAGTTATCTATATGTTTTGCAATATCATATAAAACAGTTTTGTGAGAAGTCTCATCAGTCGAAGAGGCAGATGAAAATTTTCCAGCAGCAGTTGTAGAACTTTTTTGAGTTCTCATGCATTTAAAGCTGTGAAGATTGACTACTCCTTGGTTTCCTCATCAAAATCTTCACATCCATCACAAAATCATCTATGTTAATGGAAAACTTTGCATCATTTTAGTATTTACCCAATATACCCTGTATGCCTTCACAACATTTCAGATTTCTCCATTGCTGTCTTTTCTGACATATTGATGTTCTTTGCTGAACATTGGAATCCTTGGTAGCAGATGTTTGCTGGATTGAAGTAAACGATTATCTCCATAGAAAATTTTCTCTTAAGTTTAAATGACATAGTTATAAGTGCTGTCAGTTATTCTTTGCTCAAAGTCCCCCCCCCTCCTAAAATTCTGTCGATACATTGTTTAAAATATTATGGAATCATCTCATTTTCAACCTTTTGTGAAAGCTTGAAAATGAGGTGATGCATTAATATTCATCTAACACTACATTGTTCTTTGTTAGAAAATACCCTTTAATTATATTAAAGAGTATTTTATTAAATGAAGAACTTGAAAGCTATTTGAATATGTCTTACATTTCTGAAATATTCTGGAAAATCAAGCGTTTAATTGAAATGTAATAAACCTTTGTTCAATCGAAATGCTGTTGGGAAAGAAAACTTAATCAAGAAACAAGTCCTAAAAATTAGTAATTTTTCTCACTGTTTTATTCTCTAAAGATAAGTACATGTTTTTAATCAAACCAGGCAACCTCCGCATACTGCACATAAGAACAGTAAATTGTTAAATATTGTTTGTGACTTTTTAAAAGCTGGAATATGTGGAGACTACTGGTATATAAATTTCCTTTAACTCCATAGGGAAAGTCAGATTATGTATTCTCAGGAAGATGTATCAGTTTTTTTTATTATGTCAGTTACTTATTACTGCAGTTGCTTTCATTAGCATTAGTATAATCACTGATTTCAAAAGCATAATGACTTTGAAGACTTTTTTTTTTTTTTTTTTTTTTTTGTTTTTGTTCAGTGCTACCTGTATTTATACTGCTTATCAAAATAAAAGGGTAATGTGATAAATATGCTCAATAGTTTCAATTAATATTCAGTACTGTAATTATATTTGTTTATTATTTTCAATTAAATGCAAAACTTGACTTCTGTACATAGATTTTTAGTACATGAAATACACAAATTATGTGACTAAGAATGTGTTGTACAGTGAATGAAGGAATTTGGGTGTGTAGTCGTATTTAAAGTTATTGTGGTTTCTGAGAGTGATCTGAGTTTGTTAGGATTCATTTGCTATGAATCAAAGGCATCATTTAAATGAAGAGCAAAAATGGTGGTGAACTAACTGATAGATGCAAAGGGGCACACAAATGGAGCTTGTTCAAGATCTACTTATTTTATCAGGAACTTTTGAAGCAGTGAATTAGAAGACTACCTGCTCAAGATTGACAACTATATTCAAAGGCTGTTTTCTATCACTGTCATTTCTTGAATAAATCATGGAGCAAGAAGAGTGCTGTTATTAGACCTTCAATCTGCTACAAGATCTTTAACTGTCATTCTATTCTACACAGAAGCTTCGTAAGGTTGGATTTTATGTAAGAAGACCAAGTTGTTTAGTCTGTTTTTTTATATATATAATCACTTGATCTTTCAAAAGGACTTTTTAAAGTGGTGGTGTCATCATGTTTAATTGAACTATATACTGTTATAGAACCAATACTAGGCTTTCTGCTGCCTAGTTCAAACGCAGAGACTTATTTTAACCATGCAGTGTAGTTGCATTCAGTCTGGTGCCTGTTTGCATGCGAGTTCAGATATAGTCTGAATTGTAATTCTAGATATGTTTTGATATGAAGACAGTAAAGCACATGCATTGCCTTCTTCTGTTCATGAAAACTTCCATTTGCACGTAAGTGATGGTTTGGGATGGATTCATCAAAGAGGGCCTTACTGAGCTGCATATCTTTGATAGAGGCTATGTTTACAGATATGTGGTTGAAGTATTGGAACTACAGTTGCAGTTGGTCCAGATTTTTTTTCCCCCTAATACAGACAGTGCTTAGTTACATTAAACATTTCTGCAATCAGAATGTTTGGAAACAGAAGCTATTCTCAAATGGCTTTAGCAACTTATTCATGAGATTTTGTCCCAATTAATAAAGTGTAGAATTCTGCAGGCTGCCACAAATGTCTTCTCTTACCCTCAATAATTAATACACTTTCTGAAGAATGGCATGCAATTCCACAAAACTTGATCAAATGTTTGGTAAATTTTATGAATCAAGATTTTAGGTTTGCTTTTCTATCAGAAGTGACCATGCAGCATATTAAAGAAGGATTTGCTGTGAAACAGGGCAGGCCATTTTTTCCATTATTTTTTAATTTCCATAAATTTGACTTCGGTATTTTGAAATTAATCTACTGATAGACATGAAGTTTTTTGTTGAATTATTCTTTTTTACAAATTGTTTTGTACCATTTTTCACTAAGCCTTTTAATTTTGACAAGCAGTATATACTTCAGTCTTTTAATAGCTGAAATTAATTCTCATTAGTTGATTGGAAAAGTGTTGTCAGAAAAAGTGTTATCAGAAATAGCTTTGTTTGGATAAACATTGTTCTGTTGTATCAGAGGTTGCTTTTTATTTAATATATTTGCATCCGCATTAAATAAAGATATATTTTGGGGAAACTTATATGGATCTTCTCTATAGTTTTGAAACTTCTGTTAATGTTTGTATATATCCTTGTTACATGTATGTAGTTTCTAAAAATGAACAAATGACTTTTTTTTAACTGACCTTATTTAAGTTTTCATTTTGCATGAAATATATTAATTAATATGTGCAATGATTAGTTGCTATTTTTAAAAAATCAATTTGATGAACACTGTTAAATAAGTAATCATCTGTAGGAGCTGTGCTTGAGCATCATACCCAAGTTTGCTAGCCTTATAGAGTATGCAGCTATGAAAAATGCTCTTTTACCCAGGATCAAAAAATTATGCATCAGTACTAGCTATTTATCAGTAAGTTTTGAAAAAAATTTGTATATATACTGCTGACTAAGTATTCACATATGGAATATGCTTTTATGTAGGTGTTACACAGTTTTGTTACCTATTTCATTAGGTTCGAGTAAACTGTCTAGTCTGTTTGGGAAAACTACTTGAACATTTAGATAAATGGCTTGTATTAGATGAAATTTTGCCCTTTTTACCACAGATACCTTCTAAAGAACCTGCTGTTTTAATGGGAATATTAGGTAATGAAGTTTTAATATTGTTTGTAATATATAATAAAAGAATTTTATATTCCTTATATTTTGATTATGTCCTAATTTTATATTCTTTATTTCTGAATGGGTCTAAGATGTCCTTTTTTTTTTAATGTAGCTAAAAATTGAAGTGTCTTAGAATCGCAGATTTTAACCAGTTACTAATTATTATGAAATAAATTCTTTCAGATTACTAATTTAAATAGAAATACAATAAAGCACTGTTTATGCATTTCCGATGTATATATCTTTCGCATTTATATGTCATTTCATCTCTGTTCTAGTTGATACCTATTCTTGTTAATCATGAAATATTTAATTTTTATGATGCATAATTTCAATTATGCAGTACAAAGTCCGGAATCTAGATGTTCAGTATATGGATGATCTAAAATCCAGACCATCAGCATCCGTTTTGTATGTTTTACAGATTGATAGTTTTTTATTGTAAGGTATATATTTTAATTTTATAACAGTTATTTTAATTTAGTGAACCTATCTTATCTTGTGTCATTTCAACATATGACTCCCTACCAGAATGAGTTTTTAGAATTGTGTTGAATGCAAATGAGGAAGAGATAGTATTAAAGGAAAGTTCAATTGACTTTGAAAGAAAGAGAGAGAGTTGGGAATCCTGAGTAGTGTGCACTTGCCTTTGTGCTATGTCTCTGTAAGCTGTTGTTGCACTCAGCCATATTATTACATGTATTTTGATAGTTAGTCAGCTAGTTCAGATTACAGGCCAAGTGGGCTAGAATTGTGTTACCTTCGAATAAATCTCTTAGTTAGTTCTTATTTTCATACTTTTGAGTTTAAGCCCAAGTGGAGGGTTTGCTGTAAGCCTGAAGAAAGGGGCCAACTGTTAGAGCAAATAAAGGGTACTCAACCCTTCTTGAGTTTAAGATCTCTGTCGTTTGAACTAAGCAATAATTCGCTTAACAGTTCACTAGGTTCCTCGACACTTAGTTTAACAGAACAGAAGTGAGCAACTCTATTCATCTGAACTCTCTCCGTACTGAAAATGCATATAAAAAACATATGGAGTCCTTCTTAATTTCACTTCTGCACTGAATAAAATATCTCTATATTGAAGAAACAATCATGCATTTTAACTTGTTATTAAAATCACTAGAAAATGGATAAAGGCAAATGAAGCAAATAAAAGTGTTTACTATAATATTTTCCATATAAAAAAGATTTTGGCTAAAATAAGATAGTTGACAAAGTTAATATTTCTTTATGTACCCTGAAAAATGACTGTTTTGACAAAAAAAAAAAAAAAAAAAAAAAAATTAAAGCAGAAGCCTGTGGAAAATTTTTCTTGGGCGCAGATAATTTTTTTTTCTAAAATTTTTCATTCAGGGCAATGCATGCTTCCAGTGAATGGCCATGCTTATTGAGAATGCAAAAGGAATAGCATTGCAACTGAATGTAAATGATGCATTTTATTAGTGGTATGGATGCATAAATTTAAATTGCACTCCATTATCTTATGTCACACCGTAAATGACAAATTCAAAAATAATCTGATTGAATCTGTTTAATAATGATTCAAGAATTTATCAAGTGAAATTCTTGAATGTCATCTAAAAGATATTTCTAACACTGATGAAGCAGCTCTTTTTTTTCACCTTCTACCTGCAAAAACTCTTGAGTTTCTCTTTCCTTACCATATATCTGGGTGGTGTAATTGGAAAGCATGTCTTGGCTGTTAGTCAGAAGATTTGGGGTTTAAATCTTGGTGAGGACAATGTTAAATCTTCATGTTTCCCAGCTTAAAAAATGCTCTGAATTACTTTACAAGTGACACTTAAACTAAAATGCGACGGGTGATAATTTGTCATCCTCAGGACTTTGTGACTGCATTCTGTAAGTGAGAATGAAAGGTATTTTCCCTTCCTTACTGCATGCCTGTATGGTCCAGTTAGAAAGCACATTTGATTAGAGTTGGAAGGTCTGGAGTTCAAATTCCAGCAAGAGCATCATTGATTTTTCATGTTTCTTACTCCGGAATAAATTTAATGACTCTGCAGAAAACAATCAGTGTTATGCAGGGAAAAAAAAAAAGTTTTTTATGTTATAGGGAAATAACAGAAATCCACATATTTTTAAAAATGTAAAATATTTTCATTGTATGATGCAAATAATAAAGCAGCATAACTGAAAATATTTTTACAGAATAGCTCAAGAAAATGTACAAAGTAATGAGAAGACAAAACAATAAAATTTTGCTCTTCGTGGATGAATGTACCAAGCATCTGCAATCAAATTTCTTGAAGAATCCCCCCCCAGAACAAGAATATTGCAGTCTTCAAACTTTGTTGTGATTAAAAGTGTTCTTTAAAGAGGGAGTGATTTAAATCACCTTTCTTTGAACATTTGCAGGAGATACCTAGAGAAAAATTAAACATACTCAAAGCTAAGAATTTGATTTCTCTTGTTTGTATATAAACAAAATCAGAAACATGTTAATATTCTGTTTTGAAAGGAAAATTTAAAAATTCAGTATTAAGTTGCTGAAGGATGTAGAAGAAGAGGCCTGGAATCTCTTGAAAGAAGGCATTATAGGGTGTCCACAAAGTCCCTGAACAACATTACCCTATTATTTTGGCCACCTTGTAAGAGTTAAGTGCTGTAAATTTTTGTGTTGGTATTACACATATGGTGAAGTATTTTCCTAGCAATTTGTTTTGGTTTAAAATACGTATAACCTAATCCGAAATCCTAATGTTGGAAGGGATTTGAAGTGGGACAGTTTGAAAATTTATAATGTGACCTGTGTTTATTTATACCCACTGAGGTGTGTTATTGGAATGTGTGCTAATCTCATTGATGACTATCAAAAGGTCAATTACATTTGCCCAAAGTTGGAGGACCATCAACCAGAAGTCATATTTAAGCAGCGTAATGCTCCATCGTACTGGGCAAACACTGAACTTTTTAACAAAAACTTGGAAAGTGAAACTTGTGAAAGTGGGACCTGTATCAAAAGTATAAGTTGTTCCAATCCCAAACAACAAGCTGTCAAAGTTGTTCAGAGGCTTTGTGGACACTGTATATTTTTGCAGTGTAAACTGTAATGCCAATCTGGTGATGTCAAAATCATGTACAGTTGAAGAACTGGATGAAAATAAATTTTAATTGAATATTTAATGAAGATGAAAAAGAAATGAGTTAATCTCATCGTTTTCAAAATGCAAGACATTGCATTTATTTGCTTAGAAATTTCTTTAATGCCTAGAATCATATAGTGTGTCAGATTGTAGGTTTTTTTATTATTATTATTTTATTTATTTTTTATTAACTCACCAATGTTAACTCACCAACCTTGAATAAAGAATAGCCATTTGGGGCTATTCTTTATCAAGTGGACAAATAAAAGAAAATATAGTTTTTTCTTATTTTTATATTATGTATGATACAATTTAAATTCTGGTAGTCTTGAATATGAATATTTAAAATTTTTTATTATATATTTTAAAAAACCAAAAGTGGATGATAAGATTATCTAATGTCAAATATATATGGCATTAAAAATTTGCATTTAAAAATACAACTTAAAATTTTGAATGTGTCTTTCTCATTTATTCCTTTTTTAATGGTTCCTTGAAAGTCATATAAACAGTGTTTCATTGTATTGTTGTTAATTCAAAATTAATAGTTAAAAATATGTATTTGTTAAATCTATTTTAGTATGTGGTTTTCTCTGTTTATTTTATTAGAATTAAAATCTTCTCTGTAGATGAGATTGAAATTAAAGGATGCATCCTAGAATTGAAGAAGTGTCTATATGTATAGTTAAATCCTGTTCTTACATTCCTGACTTATAGTGATTTTTGTATCTAACAAGAATAATGTTGTTTTAGTAAATATTAAATCTCTAACAATAAAATTCTGAGGTTCTGAAATTTGCTATATGAAATATATTAAGAAGCTCTCCATTATTTATGTCTTAAGCTAATAAAATTTTCTATTTTGTGCATTTTTCACTTTACTTTATTTATTCATTTATATGTGTGTATGTGTAATTTAGTCACAAATATGTTAGCAGTTTCAACATTTTGCGAGAAACTGATGAAAATCGTAGTATCTGCTCTAGCAGTACATAATTTAATTCCCATTTCTGAAAATGGTCAGAAAAGAAACTGCTTTCAGTTACAGTACAAAGTCTTTAATCCGGACTCGTCGGGACTTTGGCGATTCCAAATTAGGGGTTTTTCCGGATTATAGATCATCAAATTAAATCTGGTAAGTTGGCATGCAGAAATTATAAAATTAAAAATATGAAACCATAATTTATAAAATAAAGAGCAATTATGATGTAAAGGGTATCAAAAAAGTTTAATATTTATTTGTTTACTTTATTAAACATTTCTTTCAATGCAAGTTGTTTAAGTTGCTTCGTTTTATGTGCTAATACTTTCTCTTTAATTCCATAAACAGACATAATTTCTTGTTCAGTTTACAAAGTTCTGCTGTTCAAGTCCTGTAATTGCTGTGCCGAGAATACTGACTAACTTGTCAATCGAAATTTTTTCGTTTTCACTAACCTCTCTATAACTTTCTTCATGCCTTATCCATTTTTTGCAGCAATTCCACTTATTGTTTGATGGGCATCGAAACATGCTTTTGCTTTGTAGATCCTTTGGCAGCTCCAGAATCGGAAACTCTTTTTGACATAATCGAAAGTTCAAGCTTACTTTTTTATAAAATTGCTCTAACAGTCTGCAAAAAGTAATAAGCCATATCCAATTAGAAGATTAAAAAAAGACTCAATCTGCAACATTAATGGAAATAGATAATTAGATAATTTGACCTAGCTTATACCGTCCATCAGTGGCGTAGCTAGGGTGGGGCAAGGGGGGACATGTGTCCCCGGGCGCAGCATTCAGGGGGCACCAATTTGATGTTACGAAATTTTAGAATGAAATGTTTTCCATTCTTGGCACAGAGAAAGGGGTGCAAAATCTTCAGTTGTCCCCGGGCGC